ACAAAGATTCTTTAAGTGAGTGGTCAAACTGAAAGAGAGCATAAGTGACTGGAAGACAGATGCAAAGAAATTATCTAGCACATATCCCAGAGAAAAAAATAATAAAATTTCCCAGGCTAAAAAACATGTAGAATACAGGGAACAAATCTAATATACAGCTACTTAAATGTCAGTGATTAGACAGAAGACAAAGTATTTGGTAACATAATGAAAGAAATTTTAGAATTGCAGAAAGATGACAATACTCAGTCAGAAAATTCCAAATATTCTCAAATTTGACCAATAAAAAGAAAACCACATATCCCTGTAAAACTTCAAAACAAACTATAAAGTATCTTTAATAAAGTCAAATACAAACATTGATTATCTGGGAACAAAAATTAGTCTGAGAGTTGATTCTTTCCTTTTTCTAAGACAAGAGTCTCACCTCGTTACCCAGGCTGGAGTGCAATGGCATGATCTCAGCTCACTGCAACCTCCACCTCCTGGGTTCAAGTGATTCTCTTGCCTCTGCCTCTCCAGTAGCTGAGACTACAGGAACAAGCCACCACACCTGGCTAATCGTCTGTATTTTTAGTAGAGAAGCAACTTTGCCAAGTTGGCCAGGCTGATCTAGAATTCCTCACCCCAAGTGATCTGCCCGCCTTGGCCTTCCAAAATATTGTGATCCTAAATGCCACTGCACTTGGCCTGAGAGTTGATTCTTAACAACATCATTTGGAAGCCATAAGACATCAGTATAGTGTAAAGAACATACTAAGAAAGAATAGCTATGAATTTTAAACTTTATGTCAAAAAAAAAAAGCTTTTCAAGTTCCAAAGAAAAATTGAAAAAAATCAAAGTTGATGACATTTGTTACCAACAAATTTTCACTTAATATAAATATAAAGAAGGTATTGCAGACATAAGGAAAGTGATTCTAGGTGCAGGCATTGGGTAAAGAAAAGATTCCTAGACCAAAAACAAAACAAAATACAAAATGAAATGCTAGAATGGGTGTCTGTAGAAGTGTGAGATCAAGTTAAAGGGTTCTAAAGGATCTAGTTTTGTTCACAAAATGTAAAACATTAAGTATGCATGTGGCATTTAAAACGTGGAATGTGAAAAAAATCATTGTAAAGTCAGTATAAACTTTGAGAAAAGTAGAAACAGAAACTGTTAGACAAATAGTACAGACTGAGGTCATAGAAATACTATCAACCTACCAGTAATCATCTGCACTGTATACAGTCTAAATGCTCTTTACAGTGAATGGTTATGAGACTAACTTAACAAATAATAACCTAGTTTTTTGCTGCTTAGAGGCCTACTGTGAAGTAAACATACAAAAAATGGGAAATGAAAAAAATGAAGAAAAAGTAAGCTGGGTAAATACTAATTAAAAGAAAGTTGATGTAGTCACATTAATAACATACAAACATGAATTTGAGGCAAATGTCTTAGTAGACTCACAGATATTTGCTGTGTATTAATAAGGGCTTTTAAAACCAGAAATATGTAATAATTTTTAACTGATGTGCTCTTAATATGGTTTGAAACATACAAATTCAAAATTTTATAGAACTTTGAAGACAAAATGACAAACCCACTCTAATATTGAGATATTACAAAAAATAGCAAAATATTTTAAAACACAAAAATTGTTTTGTGATTTTTAAAATATAATATCCAGAGGAAAAAAAAATCAAAACGAAATTGTAGGCCTGTTTGAAACCAATCATAATGAAAGCATGTGATATAAAAATTAGTAAGCTGAAGCTTAAGCAGAACTTAGAAATGTGTGTCCTTGAATACTTGTCTAAAAATAAGAAAAGCTGTAAATTACTGCATTAAATACCTGCCTTAGGCAGTTCATAAACATAAACATTGAAAAAGATGAAAGGAATTAATAAAGATTAAAGCTGGGATCAATGAAAAAGGTATTCAACAGTGAGTGTGAACAAAGTCAAATGTTTGCACAGGCATGGGTGTCATCAGAGCTTTCCACATTTTGTTATTATTAGCCTTCCAGGCACTTTCCACCCTATTCAATTCAAGCATGGCTTTGCAGCTTATTGTGACTAAGAAATTGTGTGCAGAAGTGATTTGCGATTTCTGTGTGGATTCTTTGGGGCCTGCTTTTCCACTTGAACCCTGGTGGCCAACAATGATCTCACCAATGAAGAATGTTCCATCAGCTTACAACCTGATGAGAGGATCTGCAATTTAAAAACAGACAAAGAAGCAAACAAAAACACTGGATCACGCTAAGTTCGAGGTGTAATGAAAAAACCATGTTGCAAACCACTGAAAGTGTGAGATTTTACATACCTGCCACATAACCCAGCCTATTCTATTGGTTGCTTGAAAAATAATCATAAACAGAAAAAACCCTGGCTAATCACAAACACACACACATGCAAACACACAAGCATGTACATACAGATAATATGTGGATATATTTCTAATGAAAAAAGAGAAAAAATATAGATGCTGCAGGTATTGAAATGTAATTTAAGGAGCTATAATGGCTAGCATGCAAGCAAATTTATGAAATAAGAAAAATTTTAGACAAGATTGACTCAAAATTCTTAATAGTTCTCTACCAATAAAATAATTTCAGTAAGTACTTTAAAATCTTTTCACAAATGAAACACCAGATCCAAATGGCCTTAAGAACAAGTTGTGTCAAATAGTAAATAATGCTGATCTTACATAAACTCTTACAGAGGTAAAGGAAGGAGCATTTGTTATTTTATTTTATGAGGCTAACAACCCTGTAATACAAAAACCTGAGAAAGAAAGTGATAGGAGAATGAAAATTACTTACCATACTAGTCATTAATACACAGTACAGTATTAACAAAATGAATCCACTAGTAAATTTAATGAAAAGGCAAAGCTTACATAGTTGGGTTGATCCCTATTAACAGATAAAAGGAGGAAAAGTAAAATATGTTATTTTCTTGTTAGAAAAAAAGGCTGTTAGTAAAAATCTTTTATCAATTTGTGATTAAATTACTAGAAATTTAAAACAAAATGACCTCAGTGAAGGGCATCATAATATAAATTTTATGGTAAAGTATTAAAGGAGTTGCTTTTAGGCCAGATACACTGTCATCATTTCTATTTGACATTGTACTTGAAGCCCTACCCATGAAAATGAGAAAGGAAAGAAAATTGATTGAAACTAAAGTAATGAAAGTATGACTATTTTCAGATTGTCTATTCAGAAACACCAAAGCAGCCATGGGGAAATTCTAAAATTAATAACTGAGTTTGCTAATTTTTCTGGATGGATGATCTATGTGTCAATCACAGTTTTATACAAAACAATAATTTTTAATGCAAACTAAAAATGATCAGAATTTTTATACTACAAAGTAAGATATGCCACCTCATAATAGATATTACTTTTTATTATTTTATTTATTTATTTTATATTTTATTTTAGAAATGAGAGTCTTGATTTATTGCCCAGGCTGGAGTGCAGTGGTGCAATCATAGCTTACTATAGCCTCAAAATCCTGGGATCAAGCTATTTTTCCACCTCAGCCTCCCAAACAGATTTTTTACTTATAGAAAATAAGACTTTATTAAAAGACATTGATGCACTTATAAATATTGGGAAAAGGTTATTATGGTTTTGATTGCAATATTATGAAGTTGTCAGTTCTTCCCAAATTAATCCATAGATGAATGCATTCCTAATCAAAACTTCATGGTATCTTACTTTTGAATTCATTAAACATAACTTAAAATTTATATGAGAGAACAAAAAACAAGAAATAGCCAAAACTTTCCTGAAAAATAAAGCACAGGAGTTACTAACATTATCAATATTATGTGGCATTGGGGCAAGTACAAGCAGACAAAAGATGTTCAGAAGAGTTATGAAAGTGTAATTTCTTCTCCCAGAGCAATAAGGACTTCTTAAATCAAATATAAATAGCGCAAATCAGAATGAAAATATTGATTGGTTTGTCGGTATTAACATTTACACACTTTTTTCACTAAAGCACAACATAAATGGAAGGGCTGTGGTACAGTCTTACTGTCATTACACTAATGGATTTAGAGTATAAACTTGTTCGACCATATTGTAAAACAATTTAGAAATCTCTGGTGAAGTTGAACTTATATGTAGCTAATCATAAAATTTCTAGGACAAACCTTAGAATTGGGCATGAGGAGTCATGTTCCCATAGATACATCAATCAGAATAGAGAAAAAAAATCAGCTGCCTAAATTTCCATTATTAGGAAAATAGTAAAATGAATGGTTAAATCATGGTAGAATCATGCAACAAAATACTATTCAGCAGTACAAACGACTAAGTGTACAAACATTACTGATTCTGAAAATGTAATATGAATTTAAAATTATCACATAAAAGATGCAATTCCATTTGTATAAAGTAAAAAAGGAGGAAAAACAATTTATAGATAGTAAATAGATCAGCAATAAAACTGTGAAACCAAGTAAAGAAAATGAAGAATTCATGATATAATGACTTTGAAATGGGAGGAATAGGAATGAACCAAGATCAAATGAATTTAAGGTTTAGCTAATGTTCTAACTCATCATCTGGAATTGGAGATGTATGCTCATTTATTAAACTGTGTAATCATGTGTGCAAGCAGTATATATTCTATTTCTGTCTTTGTTTGTTTGTTTGCTTCTTTCTATTTTGTGTCTTGTTATATTGCCCATAACGTAACAACTGGTCTGCAACTCCTGGGCTCAAGTGATCTTCCCACATCAGTCTCTGGGATTATAGGTGTGAGCCATCATGGCTAGCTGTTCTTTTAAAAATATGACAAATTTTACAACGTTATTATTATTACTTGAGACAAGGTCTCCCTGTGTCACCCAGGCTGGAGTGCTGTGGCATGATCATAGATCATTGCAGCCTTGAACTGTGGGCTCAAAGGATCCTCTTAACTCAGGTTCCTGAGTAGTTGGGACTACAAGTGTGTGCCACTAAGTGACTACGTTTTTTGTTTTTACATTTTTATAGAGACAAGAGCTTTGCCCAGACTGATCTTGAACTCCTGAACTCAAAGGATCCTTCTGCCTTGGCCTCTCAAAGTGGTGGGATTACAGGCATTAGCCACCACACCTGAGCAATATTGGCAATTTTTAAAGTTAGAAAGGTACATTTATACCTGTTATGTTTTTCTTCTAATGTTTACATCTATCTTTCATTGACCTGTGTTTTTCTTTTTTCTTTTCTTTCAACCAATGTTAAAACTTAACAGTTATGTCCTCAAGTAAGTTTAAAAACTTAACAAAACTTTTACATATTTCTAGTATTATCAAAAAACTCAGGTTTATTTTTATGTCATTGTCTATTTATAAGATAGTTTTTCTTCCAAATGTATTGTATACACAATAAATGTTCTGGGGAACATAAATAACTGGAATCTTTTATGTAACACCTTTGTATTTATATGATATTGTAAAGTGCTTTACTTTTGGTGATTTAGGACTATTACCTTATTTTTTTTCTTCCATTCAGTGTTGTAGTTGAGAAAGCTAATGTTGATATTATATTCTTACCTTCTATGTGAACTATTTTTGTTTCTTTCTGAGAGATTGTCACTGATATTCTTAAATTTCACTAGCATGAGTCTAGTGCCAGTTATTTCTTATTTTTCTTTTTGGGTATTTTCTGAGCCGGTCTTTCCCATCTAAGTTGTATTAGACTTATTTTTGAGTGCTGCACAGCAGCCCCTACATTTCAGCATCCCCTACATGTTTCAGCAATCGCGGTGGTGGACAGCGTCCTGGTCTTCTGGAAGCATCTCACTTCAGATACCAATTGCATCTCGCAGTTTTTCTGCCATAGGGAGTTAGGTTATTCAGACTATCTGAAGCAGACAGAACTTTTAGGAGTTAAAACCCAAGACTATCCTTGGAGAAAGTGTGTACCTGTTCTCAGGTGGTTCCTTGGAGTCTCCAGCAGGAATGGCCCACCGTTACTCAATAACAAGCCTAGACAACCTCCTTCAGGTCTTCACCTGTGCTTCCTGGAATCACCTACATGAGGTGGTGGTTTTAGGCGCTGTTTCTGGGGAAAATGAAACTATGACATTTATATTATGTCTTTTCATACATCCAGAAGCTATACTGAATATTATTTGTATAAATACTCTCTCCTTTCCATTCTCATGATTTTTTTTCCTCAAAAGTTCCTGTTAAAGAGAAACTGTTTCTTCTCATTTTATCTCTTATAGTAATTATTTTTCTCATATTTTCTTTCTAGCTATTCCATCTTAAACACTTCCGGAAGAATTTTTCACCTCAATCTACCAACTCACTAATTTTTACTTTGCCAGTAGCTCATGAGAATTTGAATTTAAAAATGAGCTTTGGATAGCAGATGTAAGGTAAGCTGACATAATGTAATTTGTATTGTTAACAGTTTTTGAAAAGTAATTATTTGTCAAAAAGATAAGCGATGTGATTAAATTTATTTTTTGTCAAAAAATTTAAATGTCTCAATTTTTTTAAAGCACTTAGAAAAAGTAGGCATTCAAAGTCCTCATAAATATCTCCATATCTTAAATTATTAGAGAAATTTAAAAATTTTCTCACATATTCCATGATGTTCTTCAAACACACACACATATATATACACATATATGCACACTGAATATTGTTAGTCATAATGACAATTTTTCAAAACTAGTAAAAAAATTCCAAAGTGTTATGTTTGAATCATTTTTAATTGAGATTCCAGTTAAAATTATACTTCAATACTTGAAAATATATATATTTTAATTGACACAAAATGGACCAAATACTTTAAGCATTTCTTAAAATATATTCCATAATTTTTATTTTTTTAAAACATTATAGGTTCTCCCAATGTTATTTCAAAGAACTACTTTGAAACATAATTGTGCCATTCTTCTTTAAAACGTTGGAAAATTCATGAGTAGAAAAAGAGATAGAGTTACTTAGATTTTCCCTATGACTTTAGAATAAAGACATTTGTAAATACCTCTCCTTATTGTGTGCCACTGATTATATCAATAGCCTGAGCCATAAGCTTTGGATTTTTCAACTGCCATCTGAATTATGGCAATAATTCTTACCTGTTTCACAGGGGTGGTGAGAAAAGGAATTAAATTAAGATATTTTCAGTTATTAGAATATCAAAATCTGTAAATGAACATTAAAGTTTTTGTATAATAATTTACTTTATATTATGTGTTCTTTCTGTATATGTTTTTAGCTATAGACATTTTTCCACCAGGCTGTAAGTTTCTGTATTCAGTGCAGCATTAACCTGAACTTTAAAAATGTTTACACTAAATGATTCATATATTAATTCAAGTTTATTGTCTTCTGTATGTCATAAAGCAAACAAAACCTATCGTTTATATATTTTGAAATTTTAAAGTTTGTTTTGGGTTATTAGTGAGATAGTTTTGCCATCATAACTGCTTAACTTTAAATGTTTAAGTGCTCAAATAATTATATATTGGCTAAAATAGCAGTATTTTGATTGGCTGTCTCAACTCTAGAATGAATAATTAAACATAAAATTGACTTTCAATATACAATATTATATTAGCTTATTACCAAAAGAAAATTTCATTCTGAATCAGCACTTACATTTATTTCAACTTTACAATACATTACAGCACATTGCATATAGTAGGAATTCAACACATAAGATTTGAATAAACCAATTAATAAAAACTGATAAGAATTGTCAGAACTTTGGTTATTTTGTCAACTAAGAGGTCAATAAAAGTTCTGGTTTGATTGATACAAACAGCTAATTAAACAAGCTATTTCATTTATATGATACCACCTTGATAATTTAGTACCAGATAAATATCTTTTCAATTAGGTTTTCTCTGCTACCTTCTCTTACTGCATTTCTGAATCATAGGCCATGCTGCAATCTATTTAAATTCGGTGTAGATTTTGATGAAACATCTCTGTATCATGAACTTGGATATCTCCATTTTTACTAAAAATTTTCAAGGACATGTTTAAATGTGACACAAATCCCTGGTGAACTCACAACTCTTCTGTTTATAATGGCAATAAAAATCAAGATTAAAAAGATATATTACATATTTACAGCTATACTTCGAACATTCTGTGAAAAACATTTTGACATTGAATGTTGCCAGCACATCCTGCATGGGGTTGAACAAAGTGTAATCTTAGGTAACTGTTTCTATTCCAAATCTCTTTTTGTACTGTCTCTATCTATGAGAAGTGGTCATAAGGGCATCTTTGTAATTCATATATTCAAGAGCTTCAGTTTAACAAATGAGATTCTACATAGACTTGGGCCAGTTTTATATTTGGTCATGTGAAGGCCAACTTTTATACCACAAAAAAGAAGAGATCAGATGGGATTTGAACTAGGAAATCCAGAATGCCCTAGTTTTCAACCTTCTCTTTTATCTATACAAATCTCACCATTTCATTAATTTAAATTCTTCATTCTGTTTTAAGCAAAGGTGAAAGTACAACTTTAGCTAAAGGGGTACTGTACTTAGTTCCATATAGAGTCACTTACATGGTATGCTAAATATGAAAAATGAATACAGCAATAATAATCACTTTGTTATTGCAAATTTTCTATGCAACTCAGGGAAATGCTTCAAAAGAAGGATTCTCAAGGTAATTTCTATTGAAAACCTGCAAAAGTAATTTTTCTCCTGCATTTTTAGGTTAAAAAAATGAGTTTCAACTGAAAATATGCCCCACACAGGCACTTTTTTCCTAGTTTGAAAAATGTACTTAATTATCCTTAGGATAAGAATATTTTCTTTCAAATTTGCCCCCTGAGGTCCACCCACTTATTCCATACTTGTCACAGAAAGGTCAGGTCTCCCTGGTGTTTGTGGACACTTGGTCCACAAACTTAAAATGTTTGAAAGTCAAAGAAGAAAAAGAATATGGAAATATTTGTTCTTCCTTATAGAATAGCTCTTTTTTTTAAAATAAATTTATCTCAAAATAAAGTGCAGTTTATTTTCACTTATTAAATGCTCCAAATTGAAAAAAGTTTCCAACTGTGAAATTATATGTTATGAAACAATTCACAAGAGCATTCGATTAACTGTCAGAAGCCAATTTAGAAAGAATCACCCAAAAATTGCTATGTTAAAGAGTAATACAATATTACTTAATAAAATTCATTTTTGCCCATGCCACACAATCATAAATCCAGGTCAAACTATTCAAGAAAATATTGCATGGTTGTTATACTATATCACCAGATTTTTTCTTCTAAATTGAAAAACTAAAAGCGATTAAAAGCAGCATGTTATCTATAAGGGTTGTCACTATCTAGGAAACTTTCCTTATCCCTTGTATTAGCCATCTTTATTGCCTGCTACTTCTAGATGTCAGAAAATGACTCTAGCCACATACATAAAAAAATGAATTTAGAAATATATAGCTGAGTCACAAAAACAATGAGAAGCCTGGAGAGGTAGATTTTGAAATCTCACTAGAATCAGGAAGCAGAGGTTAAACAGCTCAGCACAGTATGGTTAGCCATTACAATATATTTGTCAATGTCACTCCTGTCTTCAGTTCCAACGGAGATGCTGGAATAAACCTACTGCTGTTGCCTCTTTGTCTCCCACCTTCTGGTATCGTCACTGTGGGTGATGGCATTTTATCAGCTCCTCCTCTATCTTTTGCCAGTGCCCTAGCTGAGAGGAGATGCATGGCTTTAAAGTTCACAGTGTGGATTTTTCTAAACAGAAATAGCCCTCTTGTGCTAGAAAATGTCCTCTCTCTCTCTCTCACTCTCTCTCTCTCTCTCTCTCTCTCTCTCATAGCACACAAGGCAGTATATTTAGCGATACTACCTTTTTGGTGAATTTAGATGGTCAACAAGAATGCCTGTGGGATCATTCCTGCATATATTTGTCAAATTTATAACTAAGTTACTTAATTTTGGTAAATAAGGAAAAAGAAAAAGGGAAAGAGGAAGAGTTGCTTGACATTTAAATCCCTTGTGTTGGTTAGTGACAGCAATTGCCTAATATTGTCTCATTCCTTTCTAGACAGAACTTCTGGATGTTATTCAGTGTCTCAGCAGTCCTGTGACTATTGCCTGAGGAACACTGAAGGACAGCCAGGTATGACCTAACATCTGTGCTTTCTTTATGTCATCATGACATCCAAGAATTTATAGGTGTTTCTTATTTATTTTAATGCAGGCAATATCTTAATGACCAATACCCTTATTTAGAGTTTCAAAGTCTTCCTTGTTTCTTTGGCTTTCACTTATGGGGGTCCTTAACTATCTACTTTTTTCCTAATGTCTATATTTTGCATTTAAGCAAATAAAGAAGATAGATAGATAGATAGATAGATGATAGATAGATAGATAGATAGATAGATAGATAGATAGATAGATAAGACAGTTGGGAAACTTAAGTACCTAATATTACAAAATTGATATTTATTGGAATGATATTAATTTTTCTACCCTTTCCTAATGGCTTTTAAAGAAAGTTAGCTTCATGAATTCTCAATAAATAATAATAGTCCATCCCATTTTGTAATAGCTCATGAAACTGCCTAAAAGATTTTACATGCTTAGTTTTTACTTTCCATGAAATCATAAAAATAATAGAGTGACACTTTCAGTATCTCAAATGGTTTTTAAAACTTTTTCTATTGTAATTTTTATTTGTATCAAATAGAATGAGAATAACATTATCTATTTGAAGCACTAACTTCATCATTCAGCAATATCTGATTAACCTTCGAGAGAAAGTAATACACGACAATACTTTTCAAAAATTTTGCACCATACAGATTGAAATTTTTACAAAAGCAATGTCTCATACCATTGCAGAAGTAGGCACCTATAGCTGAAATGCTGAAGAGCACTTGTAACCTGAAATAAAAATCTATAAACTTAGCTAATTTTTCCAGGGCAAAAACTTTTCCGATGACCTCTGAAAAAAGAAAAGAGAAAAATGCTTTAGGAAAAGTATCAGAGTCCAGGAAATGCTTTTCTCCTCAGACCTTGGAGAAAAATGTCACCTACATTAAGAAGCAGAACAGAGTTTTTTTTTTACACTGCAATAATAAATTCAGAGGGCTTGAAGATTACACCAAATTTTTCCCAGTTCGGTGTTCACCCCTTGCATGACCAAGAACATCTACAATCAATCATGAAATAACAAAATGTTTTACCCCTAACTAGCCATGAGTCATCTTTTAGGTATGAAAAATAGCTTTCTGATTAAGGTAGATGTTTACCAAGATCATATTATACATTAAATACTTTTTTATATAAATAGGATTCTAATTTATTTTACAAATACGAACTTCTGTAGATTGTTTCCTCTAAATAAATAAAGTGAAACTCCACTAACTTCCTGAATGTGCAGGCCCCGGTCAATTAGACTTCTCTTTTTTTTTAACTTTTCTCTGCCTCAGTGGATGGTGTCTGGAACAGCCATCTGCTGAGAGGCACAAAAGTTCAGTACAATTTCTATAATTGTCAACAACAATAATGTGTTATTGGAATCAACATTCTTTTAAGGACATAGTATTTGGGAAATAGTGATGTGGTTTTCTTGGCTTTCCTGAATAATGAATAGAATTTCTGCAGGTGACTAGTGGGAGGTATTGTTTGAGGTTATAAAAGAAATTGGAGGGGACACAGAGAAAGACATTCATCGTTATTGGTCAATTGAGAAAACATAGATGCTTTTTAGCAAGAAGTTACCCAAAAAGTCATGAGTGTCACCTGTTATTGGCATTTGATTTGATTGGAGGCAGAATCATAATTTAACTATGACGTTATTTTAGTAACTGAGACAGAGTGGAAACAACTTGAAAAAAGACAAAGAAGAAGCATTAAAGATTTCACTTAATCAGATTAAAAATTCACTAAATTTGGAGGCTGATGGAGATTTGTGATAAAAAAAAGAACAAAAGAGAACAATAAGAATCGTGATAAAAGATTACTGAACCCAGGTCCCCATCAAAGGTGTCACAAACTATGGTTACCCAGAATGAAATGCCAAGTAAAGAATCATAAATGAGTGAGCTCAGCAAAGTTTTTCTTTAAATAATCAGATAGTAAATATTTAGGCTTTGCTAAATGCGAACCCTCAATAAGTTGTTACAGCTACTCAGCTCAGCTGTACTAGAACGAAGAAAGCAAGAGACATTGAGTAAATAAACAGGCATGACTGTATTCCAATAATATTTTATTTACAAAAATGGGAAGTGGGATGGATTTGTGCCTCACAAGTCATAATTTGTTGGCTATGTAGTTATTAATTCTGAAATAAAAACTATCAAATGAAATGTTAAGTAGCCTATAGAGATTCACCTGCAGCTCAGGCAGAAGAGAAACAGATTTACAATGAACGGTTTTGAAATAAGTTGACAAAGGATGAGTATATTTTAATTTTATTACTTTTATTAATATATATCTATTCAATGCTTGGGATATAGTACCTATCACCACTCATGACAAAGAGGAGATTTGATTAACTGAGACTGAAAACAACCTTGGAACGGGTGATAGCGTGTGGGGCTTCCAGAACAGTGAGACTGGTTAAGAGCATTTTTGGCCTAATGGTGTTACTTCTTTGCAGGCATTTTAAGCTGACGTTTTGATATTTACTCTTTAAGTTTGCCTTCTTAGAGATAGCTCCTCGAATGTTGCACTGTTTTTCTCTCCATCATGATGATCTGTAAGAATATAGTGAAATGGACCCTGTTTGCATTCACTTTACTCTGAGAAAGATGAGAAGAGTCATTAAAGGATTCCCTCTGGAGGTTCTGGACACAGTAGCTATCAAGGTGATAACTCTAAGTGGGTTATATGTTTGCGGATTAGACCACAGCTCTACTGCCACTCTTAAATGTGCTTGCCTGTATAATTTATGGGTCTGAAAGCCTGAGAATTTCACTTCCCAATGCTTGGCAGCTGGTTTTTTTGTTAGGTTATTACACTATAAAGTACAGGCAGGATGTTAGAAGGTGAGTGAAACTATTTCCTCCCTTCTGCTTTTGGCTGTGACACCAATGTCAGCAGTCCATCTGCAGCACCAGCAGCTTTTGCTATAAAGGGGACCATATTGTAGAGATATTATGGTTTTCTCTGTGGTAAGGTATCCTTTGTGTATCCTTTGTAGAAAATGACAACTCTGGTACTCAAAACTCTTACTAAATCTCTCATCCTGTATCTGCCCAACTTTTCTCCTACATACATAACTTGGGTCCTAGAAACATGCATTGTAAGGCCTCTGGGTTGCATGCTGTCTTGTCTGATATGTCTGCTGCATCCCTCAAGACCAGAGAAACAGCAGGCCCCCGACAGGAGCTATCAGTCGCCTCTACCTCCTCTGCGCCACTCTTGGGCTATAATTTCTTCTCAAGTGTGGTGTCAGGGCGATTCCTTAAAAACCTAAGTCTTGGCTGGGTGTGGTGGCTCATGCCTGTAATCCCAGCACTTTGGGAGGCTGAGGCGGGTGGATCACCTGAGGTCAGGAGTTCGAGACCAGCCTGGCCAACATGGTGAAACCCTGACCCTACTAAAAATACAAAAATTAGTTGGGTGTGGTGGCACATGCCTCTAATCCCAGCTACTTGGGAGGCTGAGGCAAGGGAATCACTTGAACCCTAGAGCAAATGTTGCAGTGAACCGAGATCATGCCACTGCACTTCAGCTTGGGTGACAATGTGAGACTCTGTCACAAAAAAAAAAACAAAACAAATAACCTAAGTTGCAAAAACCAAAGTCCTACCTAACAATGACTTCTTCATGAGGTGACCAGCTCCGTCCCTTGTTACCTCTCTGACTTGATGTCTTATTATTTCTCCCTCATTCACCTTGCTGCAATCATTTTACCTTCCCTGCTGTTTGCTGTTCCTCAAACATTCTTGGCACAACACTGCCTTACAGCTTTGTTCCCTCTTCCTTTAGGTTCCTCATGGCTATTCCTCATGGACACTCTCTCACGATCCTCAAGTACGGGATCAGGGGCTGCCTTACTAGGGCCTCCTCTGATCAATCTATTTGTAATTACAACCTCTCCCCTAGCCCCGGCACTGCAGACTCCTTTTTCTGCACTGTCAATGTCCATGAAATTCAATATGTTTGAGCACATAATAAAATTTAGTTAGTTAAATAAATTGACATTTAATTAAATTTACTGAATATTTTATAAAACCTAAACTTGCAATTCTAGTATTCAATGTCCCTCTAGTTCCCAAGATCGAGAACTCGAGTCACACTACCAGTGTGTTATTTTAACAATCCCAACCACAAATAAATACTTGGGAGAAATCTTTGCATATATAAAAGAAGAGACATTTACAAAAATGATTGCAGCAGCACTCTTCACAGAAGAAGAGCATCGAAGAACATAAAAGAGGAGAGTAGATGCATAAACAGTGGGATAGTCAGTCGATAACACAAGATTATGTGGAAAAGCGAATGGATTATATGGCATTCAAAAATATTGATAGAACTTACTAATATAACTTATAGTCTGAAAAAAAAAAAGAAATTTGATTCTTAAACATTATAAGTTTTTTCTCAGCTACCAAGCCCAACTGAGCAGAATACTTCAATAATTTCTGAATACCCTCAGGATCACACACTGAAACACAAATATGAATAAGAAAATGGACTTTCAACAATTCTAAGAAAAAAATACTTTGTTAAGCAAGATCCATTTCATTCATTCAGAGAAAAAGATTATCTCACTAAGCTCTTTAGCTGCTAAATCCCTCCCTGCAGTACAAATCAGAGTCTATCTTCAACAAGGGTGGAGGCATAAAATATAAACGTCATGGCATTTGAACATAGTAAATTTTTGTTTGAAGGCAAAGGGCAAGAAATTTTGAGAAGCATTTTTCTGGGCCTGCAGGTCTATAAGTTGCATTGAACCATCGTTGCATACTGAATCCCAGTGTCAGAGATTTTATTATCATTTTGAAAATACATTTGATTCTGTGTATATGTGTGTGTGTATGCCTGTGCATTAGTTTGATATGTGGGGTTTACTTGTCTGTCTAATCATAATAGTGCCTTAGCGTAAGTTCACACAAATCTGGGAAGCTATGCCCTGTAAAGGTAATCATATTAATAAATGGTAGG